CAGCCCGCCCCCCGCCCCCCGGCCCCAGGAGCCCCCTCTGTGCCATTGTGTTTACGCCTCAGCACCGCGGCTACCACCGGCTGCCGGAGCGAGAGCTTTAACGCAGTCACTCAGCGCCAGCTTCTCCCCCGGACACGACACTGCCCTCAGGACAGCCGGACCGTCGGCTGGGACGCCAACGGGCCTGGCTTTGAGCCCGGGCACAAAGACATCAACATACAGGGGCAAAAGACACGTGCGTCTGCTCACCGGGGAGCCGGCGGTGGGCGTCAGGGAGAGGCTCGGCGGCGTCGAAGACAACAGAACATGCTTTCCTGGAAAAAATCAACAACGCTTGATGAAGGCCGAACGCAGCAACCCCGTCGCCCTAAGGGAGTCTGTCCTTGCTCAGAGCCCTGCGGGCTTCGGACACCAGTCAGAGCCCGGAGGCGTTCTGAGCAGGAACGGTTCTGGAAAGGCAGAGGGCTAACGAATCGCGTGACGGACAGGTGCCATGGGCCCGGGTCCAATCGTCCTTCCATGGGCCCCTCGACGGCTTCCGAGCACCTTCATGCGCGGCGCCGTGCAGACAGACGGTTTACGCACGCTTTCGCGGATCTCACATAAATAAAGACCCCAAAGGAACAGACTTCAGGTGCGTCTGTACTGGCGAGAGATCGAAACAGATAAAAGCCGCTCATCAGGGGCGAGCAGCTCACGCAGCAGACCTGCCCCGCAGGTGGGCGGCGCAAGGCCCCAGTAAGGGGGGGGCCCTCGAGCCCCTCCCCCCGCGGATCCAGTTCTCTTCTTCTTCAAGACTCCGCTTGGTTAATTACGGATATTTACAAACCGTCAATTATGGGTAATTTGGTTAATTATAAATAATTACAAACAGTGAAGACATCGAGACTGGAGATGAAGCCACGACCGGCGGCTCCCGGCCCGTTGGCCACCGGCTGCTGCGTGCTGTTCCCGGATGCGAACACGGGCGTAACTAGTGCTGCCCCTCGTCCTGGGCCGTCCCTGGGGCTGCCGCGGTCACCGAGGAAATGACCCCATCACTTCTAATCAGCTCCAGGAGGAACCGACCCCTCGGGCTGGGTGGGGCTGGGTAGCCAGCTGGAGGGGGCAGACGGTGTGACGCTGGGGGACACGCCGAAAGACCGTTCTTCGAGTGAGAGTGACATCCATCCCTCGAGGGCCAAGGACCCACAGAGCAGTGGGTCCGCTTCACGGCTAACTCACGTGAGTCCACCCAGTGAAGTCGAGGACAGCAAACAGGTGTCTGGCGATCCCGCCCTCCCCATAATCGATGACCCCATGAGGCAGGCCATATGTGAGATCGCGCCCTGTCCCCAGTCAGTCCCGCCTGGGGACTCGTCGCATGAGTGTGTGGCTGAGTGGGCGCGTCTCCAGCGTGCAGGGAGAGATGCTCGCCGGCCCTGCGACCCTGAGCGGCCTCTGCTGCCCTGGTGTTTGCAGGAGCGGCCGTCCGTGGCACCACGAACCCGGCAGGTGACAGGTGACAGCACTCCACCTGGACTGAGTCGGAAAAGGTCGCCCACCTGGACAGCTCCACGTACGGGCAGGTCAGCCTCGTCCCCTGGACACGGCCTCACTGGGCCTGGCCTGGCCCGAGAGCAGGCGAGGCCAGCCTCAGCCCCAGCTGTCCATCCGAGCATGGCCACCCTGAGCCGGCAGCCCGGGCGGTGGCACGTGGTCTCCCCTGGTCACTTCTCCACGTGCTTCTCACCATGCGCCCTGCCTTCGGAGAGACCCCCATACGGCACGGGATCCGACAGGCGCAGGGCTGGCTCGACGGCGTGGGGTCCCAGGGACCCTGCCTGCTAGCAGTGTCCTCGGTCCTCATGGAACCAGACGCCCCCTTCCCACGGGCGGGGGGGAGGCGCAGCACCCTCCCCAAATGCTGCCCATGTGGGGGTCCCCACGCCCAGAGCTGTCCCGGTGACAGGTCCTCTGACGGTGACCAGAACCAGAAGCAGCGAACCTCCTTCCAGCGTTGCTGAAGTAAACTGTCAGGCGGCTTTCCGTAGGCAGCGGCATCTCGGTCACCGCGCAGTGACGGATCTCTGACTCCGGACGATGAGACACAGCGGACTGATACTCGCTTTGCTCCTAAAGGACACATAGTCTGTCCTGTGTCACTTCTCTGAAAGGGGATGGATTTCATTTTCTCGGCAAAAGATGGAGTCGTCAAAGTCCATGCTGGACACGGCTGGTTTCGCATGCACGGCAGCCGTCCCCACGTCTGTCCCCACGAGTCTGTCCCCTGTGCTTCTGTCCCCCACGCTTCTGAGACCAGCACCCCGCTCGTCCCCCACGTGTCTCCAGCGAGGCTGACCCCACGGCCACGTCGGGGTGGACTGGGAGCCAGGCTCTCAGCAGAGTCCACACCCTCGGCCGCAGAAACTGGCACCTGGGAAACACATGACGTATCACGGCCGGTCGCTTCTTGGCCTTCTGGCTGAGACGGAGTGACAGGTCACAGCCAGCACTGCTGCAGCGGGTGACAGAAAACAGCAGCTCCTTGCTTTCTGCAGAGGGCGTGGGAGGACGAGGACATGACCCCGGAGGATGTGGCAGTCACCACAAGAAAGCCGAGGGCAGGGTCCAAAGCAGAGAGATTCCTGGCCGGGGCATCTGAGCGGCTGGACCAAACCGGTTCTCGCAGAGCCTCCCGCTGTTTTGATGATGTGAGGTTTACAAATTCCCTTCTTGGCTTGAGTCATTGCATTGGGTTTTCTGTCACACGGTCAGCAGGGTCCCAGCAGCCGAGCGGCTCCGCGTCAACCCGGGGCGTGCGGGCCGGGACCTGGACGCGGCCTTTCACCCCGTCCCGAACCCCCTGTTGCTCTGGGTGTCAGCCCAGCAGACACCCAACGATCGTTTAGGTGACTGCTGCGTTTTGGCAGATCATGTCATGTAAAAGTGTAAAAACAGATCGTTCACTCGCGAATGGAAATGAACGTGGGGAGGAGATAAATGGGTGTCAAAAGCGGCTAAGATGCATCGGGGGCGCGGCTCACGCCCTGTGGCCTGCCCTTCCCCACCCCCCGCCCCCCACCGCGTGGGCGGCTCCGTCCTCATCACCGTGGAGGAGAAAACTCGTTTGGAGGGATCGAGGCGCAGAAGGCCTCGTTCCACGCGGTCCCATCTGCATGGCGTTCCCAGAACCACGAGCCCGCGGACATGGAAAGTGAACACTGCTCGGGGCGGGGACACGGGGCAGGGCCGCCCTCTGGGACGGGATGGTGACCGTGGCACAATGGCGTGGCCATCGTAAGGGCCAGTGGCCGGCACACTTCGCAGGGCCGGGGGCGGACATCACGTGCGTTCTCCCTCGGTGAAAGCACACGTGACTTCCAGGTGCCACGGAGCACCGTGGCTGAGTGAAGCCTTGAACCCGGGCCCACCTGGCCCTCAGGTCCCTGATCCAGACAATCGCCCTGTGCTGAGCCGCAGGGGCCACCCCGGGGCGCCCCGAGGGCCCGCCAGTGAATCTGGCATCACTAATGGCCCTGAACGTTTGCCCCCAGAGCTTTCTATAATCGTCCACCAGGGAATAGGTTTTCTGGAAGAACCACTGTGTTTACGAGGTGCAGCAGGACGCCTGCCACACCCGTGGTGCTGGCCACTGCCCCGGGGGCAGGGGTGAAGCTGGGAGGGGTCTGGATGCTCAGGTGCCCCCGGGAACAGGCGCCAGCCCCCGCCCTCGCCCCTCACTGACCGACGGCCGCCGTGAAGTACATGGCGACCTCGTCCGGCGTCAGAGCTCGCTCCCAGATGATGAACTCGTCGAAGGCCCTGTTCTCGTAGCGCCCGGCCTGGCCCTGCTCAGACCCGATCACGAGGCTGGCCTCGGGCTCCCCGTAGGCGTGGGACACTTTGCCGCTGGGGTCCGCGGTGCTGAGGGTGCCATTCACGTAGACTTTCAGGCCCTCCTTGGACTTCCATGTGAACAGGACATGCGTCCAGTAGGGACCTGCGGAGAGCGAGACGGGCGGCCTGAGCAGGCGGGAGGCGCGCTGCGTTCCGGCTCCAGCGCACGCCCCTCTGCCGTAAGCCCGTGGGTCCCCGTCGCCTGTCGTGAGTCCTGAGATTGGTTGTGACACGGATCTAGCTTTCTTCAGGACCGCGGGGCACAGGGAGGAGACCCCCTCCTACCCCCCAAATTCCAGAAGCGGCTCTGGGAGTTAGGGGTTGGGTCTGGCCCTGCGGGTCGGGGGACCAACGTGCCAGATTCGCTCAGAGTGGATGTTCGCTGGGTTCGCTCCACTTTTCCGGGGGGCAGTACGAGCTTGACCTGGAGCGCGGCACCCACGGGACAAGTGCTCACGGGTCCTGTCTTCTGGGTCTCACGCATATTCAGTCCTTTAAGTCTCAGTCACCCGGGACGCGACCCTGTCATCGGGCTCGTGTTACGAACGAGGAAACTGAGGCACGAGCGGGGAGAGCCCGGGCCACTGGCTCCGCAGCCCGTGGCTGTGACAGGCACACGGCACCTTCCAACGGGCCACGAAGGGAACCCCCGAACTCCGTCATGTCCCGCCGGAGGAAAGCACCCCTGGTCCTCGCTCTGCTACCCCACCCCGGGCTTCCCTTCCCGGCCCCTCGCACCACCCGACACACCTCCGAGTCCCCCGTCCCTGCCTCCTCTCCGCCTTCCTCCCCAGATCTCAGCCTCCCGTCCCCAAAGCTCTCCCGCTCCCACGGGCACTGTAATCACTGCCCCTGCTGGACCGGTGGGGGCGGGGCCGGAGGAGGAGCCACCGCCACGGGTAAGCCCCAGGCAGTGTGCCTGTGACCCCCGACTGTGCCGTGACACTGTGCCTGTCCTCACTGCAGATGCAGAAACCCAGGCCCGTGTGCAGAGTGGCCTCACGCAGACACGCAGTCCGTTCGTGGTCAGGGGACCGCGTGGAGGCCGCCTCCTCACCGCCTCCAGGAAGCCTTCCCGCGCAGCCCCACAAGGAAAGGGGCTCAAAGCCAGGAGGCCGCAGGGCCACGGGCTCCTGCTGTCAGGCCCACTAGCCCCCCACCCCCACCCGCCTCTCCCGGGGATCCTGGTGCCCTCACCTGGCGGGCTGAAGGTGGCCTCCCACGTCATGGAGTTGTCCCGCGTGTACAGCTCCACCGAGCCCTTGCCGCCGCTGGAGCAGATCTTGAACCCGTCGGAAATGACCTGTCCACCGTAGGCGGAGGGGCTGGGCCTGGCCTGCTCGCCTTGCGTCTTCCAGAAGAAGGAGAAGGTGACCCCTGGGGAAAGGCAAGGTGCTGGCCGTCACCGGAGGGCGGGGCCTCGGCCAGCGGCTGCGGGGGGGGGGGCCCCCACGGAGGTCTCCCTGCTCTTTCATTTCCGTTTTAAATTTCATCGAAAACAGCATTTTTTTCCTCATTCTAGAGACGGCGTCTCTGAAATGAATCATCTCCTCATAGAGTGCGCAAACCCTGGTCTCGCCCCGGCCTTTTCCGAGTCTCAGATCACATGCCACTGGAACGGGTCCCAGTCAGAGGCGTTCACAGCCGGGACCAGTCACTGCCAGCCGAGGGACAGAGCTGGCTGGGACCGGTCACTGCCAGCCGAGGGACAGAGCCGGTCGACTCAGGCCCGGGACGGGGGTGGGAGCAGAGAGGTGAGGGCCATTTGCCCAGCACCTAATTCATATAAATGGCACCAAATTTAGACTTTGGACCTCGTCTTCGGATGAGAGGATGGACAGGTTTAGAGAATCGCCAAATTCAAAGACGTTTGTCGTCCGTTATAAACTTGGGCGCCTACCAACCATCTTGTCATGCCTTATGAATCAACATATTTGTTACGGGTTGTTCAAATGTCTTGTGATAATATTAATTGTGACAATTATATTGTATTATACTTTGGGGGGTTCAAAGCCCTAATGTGATTCATGGAGGCACATAAAATGTACATAATCTTCTACCCCTGGTTGAGAATTTCTCCGTTTTCTTTTTAAACATAAGAGGAACCTAAACAAATTACAATAAAAAAGGAGGGGTCCCTCCTTTTCTTGACCTCAGAAAGGCTCAGAGGAGAACCCCAAGTCATGGGGGTACCTGGGAGCACGCGTTTCTCACCAGGGCCCTGCGATGTGGGTCACCACGGGGGAGGGTGGGACTTCAGAAGGTCACTCAAAGGGCAGCTGTGCTGTTCCTGCAAAGCTGGCTGCTGGGGACTCAAAGGCGGGGTCCCCACCACTTCTGTCGGCCACGTGCTGAGTCCCCAGCACCTCCCCCCGCCCCCCGCCGAGCCTCTCCTCCCCCAGAACCAACCAATCTCCCAGGAGAACGAACACAGCGCATTGTGAAATTTTGGTTATGAAACGAATTCCCGGCTGGATTTTTTTTTTTTCCAAACACTTTGCTGCTTTTGAAAATTTCTTTCATTCAATCTTGTCTTGGCCGAATGTCTTTCTGTCCAGGAAGAAAAATAAAAATGAAGCGTCCGGCCTGGAGTTAGGGGCGGGCGAGAGAAGGCAAAGGAGACGGTGCTTTCGGTCGCCGGTGTCCCCGGCCTGCAGGTCACCGCGTCCCCCTGGGGCACGGCGGGTCCTGAACCGGCACCGTCCGTCGTCAGGTTGTAACAGGTGGAACGAGCTTCCTGCGTCAGCGTTTTCGGGGAGCTTGCTTCACGCACCGGACATCGGCGCCACGAAAAGGGAAGATCTGAAGGAAAACGAATCCGCGCGCTCTCGACGAGGCGACTCGATGCGTTTCTCTTCTTTGGAGCACAAGATCCTAACTCATCCGAAAAGTACGGGGAGGGAAAGTCGTTCTCAACGAGGCGAAAAAGGAAAACAGCAAAAAGCAACCATCCAGATGTCACAAGAAAAGAAGCATGAATCGGAGCGCATCGCGTTATAAAGTCCCGCAGGGCAAAGAATTCGCCACGGCAAAGGCAAAAGACACAAGGCAATCCGGGGCGGGGAGCGCGGGCGGGTGTTTGTGATGCGTTTAACAGACAGAAAAGCACGGTCTGGTTTTAAGAAGTCGGGTGGGCGGCGTCTCGTGAGGACGCACGATCAGCCGTCGTGAGGATTTTACATGTATTAACTCTCGACCTCCCAACAGCCCAGTAAAGGAGGTGCTGCAGTGGTCCCCACGTTTCAGGGCAGAGCGCGGGAGCGCGGTGACCAGGCGGCTGGCCCTGGAGGCTGCGCCGTGCCCGCTGTGCTGTGCCCTTCCCTGGGAGACCGGGATTTTGGGGTCCGCCCACTGAATTAGACAGAGAAGAGCCCCGGGAACTCCAGGTGGGACGCCCACCACAGGCCCGGCCCGGTGAGCACGTCCTGCCGCCCAGACCGCGCTGGCTGTATCTCTGCGGTGGGTGGGACGGGGGTGGGTGTGCGGGGAGCAAGGTGCTCTGCAGGGGTGTCCCGGCCTGGCACCCAGAGTCCCCGCCCGGGAGCAGCACCGCCATGCTCCCTGGGAGAAGCTTCCTCCCCACTCACGTGTCCTCCTCTGTGGGGTCAGCCGCGCACCCCGGGCTGGCTCGGTCACGGTGACCAGCGCCGAGGTGGACGGACCCTGCACCCCACCCGGAGGGCAGGGGGACAGGGCCAGAGCGATGCACAGGGGTTTCTGAGGAGTCGCTCAGGCCCCTGCACCCAGCTGAGGCCGCCCGGAGTTTTCAGAGATGACACCACGTCCCTGTCCTGTCTGCTCTCACGCATGGCCCCGCCCCTCCCCATCCAGTCCCTCCACCTGCTCTGTCCGACCTGGCGCAGAGGGGACAGCAGAAGTGACTCGAGCCAAGCTCCAGGGCGGTCAGCGACTGTCCGGCAGCTCTAAGCAGCGTGGCGGAGGTCCAGGCTGTGCGGCTGGAGACAGAGACAGGCAGACAATCTCGGGGTGCCCGGGACGGTGGTGAGGAAGGCCACGTCGGGGCCCAAATGAGTCCGGTCTAGGCCACTGTGGCTGCAGCTTCGTGACGGCCCCACTGAGAACGGCCTCACCGAGCACAGCAGAGCTGCGGAGGCCGAGGCGAGCCGGGACGGGCGCTGCCGAGTCCGGGCTGCTGGTGGCAGCGGGTGCTGGTGGCAGCCTTACCTGAAGCCATCCAGCTCCACAAGCCAGTCGACTCCCTTCTTGCTTCAGCCTCGTCCAGGTGAGTCCCTGGTGCTGAGGCCTCTAGCTCACACTTGCCAGTCACCAGAGGACGCATCCCCTTCCTGACCCTGACGTCCCGCAGAGGCCCCCCCAGGGAGGGGTGCGTGGCTCCCTGCTCCCTCCCGCACTCCCGCTTTGGGTGCAGGGCATTGGAGACCCTGCCTCTCCCCTGCCCACAGGCGTCCACGGCTCCGGCCCGTGCGACGTGCGTCCACCTGCAAAGCGATGCCATCGGAAGGTGGGTGTTTATTCACACACTGTTGACTCTGGCTGCTCCCTGGAAGCACTTTTCCATGACGCCTGCCCCGAGCCAGAAGAGCAGGCTCTGGAACGTTCTGGAAGGGCATCAGGAGCCAATGCCACGACGTTCCCTCTCGAGTGAGGCCCGGCCTTGCGTGACACCTGTGTCATCGGCTCGGGTGGCCGTGACCAAACGCTCAGACTGGGGGCTTCAGCAGCAGATGCTTCTTCTCCCGGATCCGGAAGCTGGACGTCCGTGATGGGGGTGCCAGTGGTGGTGGCTCCCTGGCGAGGGGCTCCCACAGCCCTGCTTCGTACAAGCGACCTCCGCCACTTCCCGTAAAAGCCGAACCCCACCCCGCGAGAACCCAACCCCGTGAGGACCCACCTCCGAAGGCCACCGCCTTGGAGTAAGGTCTCAGTTAGGAATTTAGGGGGTACACTAGCATTCAGACACCGTAGCGACACCCTCATTCATTCATTTATTCATTCCTTTGTTCAACAAATACTTGCTTAGTGGCCGACACAGCAGACAGCATGAGCGAGGGTCTGGGGACAGAAAGGCTGACAGACCCTGAGGCCCCTGGGCCGCTGGGACTCAGTCTGCGCAGGGCACGGGGGTGGCGGGGAGGGTGATGGACACCGAACAGTCACACACAAGCGTCTACAGTGACAACCACGATGAGCATCAAGGAGACACAGGCCGCGAGGTGCGTTGCAGGGCACTGTCTAACCCGAAGGCCGAGGGAGGCTCCTGAAGCGAGTCACCCTGGGACCAGGAGCTGGAGGGGACGGTGGCACTCTGGGGCAGGACCGTCAGGAGCCAACCTGACGTCGGTTTGGGGGAAGGACAGACGCGGCACGGACGGGCACAGAGAGGCGGGACGTGGGCTGGTGAGGCCGCCGTGGCCGGGGGCCGGGGGGACGGGCCACCGACTCAGCCGGGAGGGGGTGCGCGCTTGTGCGTCCGTGCACGCGTCCCGTGGCCGCTGTGACCCGTCACCACAGGGCAGCACGTGTGTCCTCTGACACAGTGAGAAGTCGCCGGGCGGAGTCGGGGGGTCGTCCGGCCAGGCCCCTCCAGGCCCCCATTTCTCTCCAGCCTGGGGAGCGGTGCCACCCTCGTCTCCGCAAGGGGGACCTCGGGGTGTCGGCGACAGACGGAACGTGGACACCACGCACCTGCCCAGAGGGGACTGTCACCCGACTCCAACCGTCGGCTGCCAGGTGGGCGGGGAACACTGCGGATTTTCTGATTTGTTAAGAGCGGTCGGAACTGCGGAGTTTTAAAACGAAGTGTGCTCTTGAGTAGGAGCTGGATAATTGTTTAAAAAAAATATTTAGAGCCTGTGAGAGGCTGTTTCTGGGAACACGGCGAGGGAGGCCATTCAGACCCAATCGTCCCACGGAAACCCAGTGGAAGTACGAAGACAGAGAGCGTCATCGTGATGCCACCGAGAACCTGGCGGGACCGAGTCAGCCTGGGCACGTTCTGAGACACGGTCCCTGTGGATCGCCTGGAGCCCTGGCTAAAATACTCATTCCCAGGCCCGCCCACGGAGGTGCTGGCTCAGCAGGACCGGGCTGCAGCCTGGGAATGTCTGTTTTTAACGCTCCCTGCAGCTGACCCCGCCACCCGCAGCCTGTGAACGGCGCTGGGACATGTGGCTGTAGGCACGTCTCTGCCCCTACGGGACCTCGGTGTCCCCGCCTGTCAAGTGCGGGTGCCCAGTGAACACTTCTCCTGAGGCCACCTGCTCCACCAGGAGTGCTGGTGTCCCCATACATAGCCCCAGGGCGTCTGAGGAAGACAGGCTGGATCCAGGCCCAGGTCCTATCCGCCAGCCCCCTCTAGAAGCTTCTTTCCTGAAACTCTATCCTGCAAATAGTTTGGCATTTTGTCAATAGTTTTTTAAATTTAGTGACCCGAGCAAAGGGGGAAAGCCATCTCAAAGCTGAGAAGAAGGAGAAACAAATGCTGAGATTTTCAGGCGGGGTGCAGAGCCTCAGCGGCCTTCTAGGCGTCCATAAGCGGAGGACGTCCCGGGGGTGGGGGGAGCGCTGAGGGGTAACACGGGAAGACGGTCTTTCCTGGGGTCCCCACGGTTCGGGTTGAACTAGACTCAGAAGCGGAGGGTGGAAGTCACTTGAGACAGAATTTAGTCCAGATCAGAAACGACCTCTCGAGTCGTGGCCGGGGGAGCGGGGGGCGGGGGGCACGAAGATGAAACGGTGAGCAGCGGTCGCTGGCGAGAACCAAGCGGCCGTTCATCAAGCAGGTGACGGGCCGTGTTCGAAGGGACGGAAGCCTCAGGAAGATAGATCCGATGTGTCTGTTCAGGAAATACAAACTAGGCATCTACGGTGCTGATTTTCATCCCTGAAAACACAGCGGCGGCCACGGCAGACGCGGTCCCACCCTCACAGACCCAACGGCCAAGGGAGGAAAGCAGATGACCAACGGGCCATCACCGACCGTGGCCTGGGGACAGGGACTGTGCAGGGGGCGACAGGCACAGGTGCAGGAAGTCGCCCACTCTGGAACCCCACCTGCCAAAGTAACATGGAGGTGAGCCCTCCAGGCGTGCGGGCACCGGGTGGAAGGAGGTGCTAGAACATTCCGGGAAGGGCCCTTCCTGCTCTGTGCGCTCGCTGGTCCTGGGGGTTGCAGGAGACGGCCTTGGGATTTGAGGAACACGGACGGTGTGTCCTCGGGTGAACCTTCGAGAACGGCCGGGCATCGAACGGCCTTTTTCTCTCGGAGGCCGCCCGCGGAACCACCCCTCAAACTCTGGGTTCTGCAGAATCCGAAGCGCGCCCTCCACGTGTTTTCGCCCTGTCGAGCTTTTCCTGTCTTCGCTGGAGAGCCGTCCGTGTGTCCATCCGTCTGCGCGTCCCGGAGCCGTGCACGTGACAGTCTCGGCGAGGCCCTCGGATGTCCCAACAGCGCGAGAGCTTCCAGGGAGGCCCACGCTACACCCTTCCCCGGAGACAGGTTTCCCTTTTGCCTCGGGTAACGGGCTCGAAGGCTCGGCAGAGAACAGCTTCCAGAGGCGGGGACCTGTCGCCCGGATGTCCCCTGTCTCGGGCTCAGGTGCGCACAACAGCAGGTCGCTCCTCGCAGGGGAGCAGGGAGGGCCGGCTCCCGTCACCCTTTCCCACACAGGCCTTGTGTCCATGGCCGTGTTTGAATCTCGGGCCTGCGACCTGTGTTTGAATCCCAGCCGGCTCTCTCCGCACGCCCCGGCCAGGCCCGCCGTCAACACCCCGGTCTCAAGCGTGAGCCACGCGGCCGGCTCACCCCCAAACGCCCCCGGACACCGCTGCATGTTTTTTATGGAGGGTCTTTTTCTATCTCTCTGCACAATTAAATGCTTCGATCTCGCTGTAAGATGAATTTTACTCTAAGACGGGTCTCCTGTTAGAATTCCAGGTGCCTGCGCCCCATCCTCCACCCGCCTCCAGCCCGTACGTGACGCTTCTCACGAATTCTGCAACGGACGAGAACGCGCGGTCACATCTGCCACCGCCCAGAGGAGCAGACGCTACCTGACAACCAACGAAGCGTAAAGAAACGGCCACGGGGGCCACATGCTCACCTTCGGGGCCGCACCGGGCCGGGTTGTTGATGCAAGACGTCTGGTACCTGCCGTAGTAGAGAAGCATGACATCTTTCTCCTCCTTGAGATAAATGCCCTTGTTGACCTTGCCCTCCACGAGATCTGCGTGAGAAGGTTGGCAGCACCATCCGTTAGTCTCATGACATCGGCAGCGTAAAGGCGCGTCAGACGTGCAGTTTACACAATGAGTACATCATACCGTCCGCACGTACGACTAAAGATCTCTGATATCATGCATAATGTAATACTGATATTAGCCTTCCTTAATACACAGTCATTAATAAGTAAATTATAAGTAATTTGTAAGTTGACGTGACTATTAAAGAATCGATCAAGGTCTATGCATATCTATCATATTTACTAATATTATATTGGTACGTGATACTTATGATACTATAAGGACGTTATGATTGTAATATTTATATACTATATAATGCCTAAGCTTTAATTCCATCGACAGTGTCCTGAGCCCTTCCCACGGCCGCCTGCACACTGAACTCGCCAGGTGAAACTCTCAGACGTGACTGTGACCGCAAAACCACACCTGAACCCCCTCTCTCTTTCCGAGTTCTAACTGAGAGCCCCTGACCCTAAACGTGGGAATCCATGGTTTGTAAAGAACCCATTTTCAAACTCCAGGAGGAAAACCCAGAGTCGCATTTCAAATCGTCCCAAAAGAGCCTGCCACCTGCAAGACCCCGCGGCTCTGAGCCCTGGCACTTCTCTGTCATCATCTTGTTCTGTCTCTTTCCCACTGCGACCGTCTCTGATGGTGTGAGACTCTCGTAAATGGTTTACAGACTCGGTAAGTGAGAGACAATAAAACCGAGAGCCGTCAGGCGTTTCTCGTTAATGGGGTCAAAGTCACCTCGATACCTCCTTTGCCCCACGGGCATTTGCCTAGATGGGCGCCTAGAATTACATCATTGGACTGGGCTGGACAACCTCCTAGACCAGCCTGATGGGCAAAATTAATTTTGGAAGCCGGACACCTCACAGCTGAAAGAACAATCAGTCGTATGTTGAAAAGAGATCATGAGCTGACACCTAGACCATCTGGACCGACTTTCTGTCCTGGTCAGACAGATGCCACCGTCGCCGTTATGATTTTGCTTTGAGCTATGCAGGAAAAATGTAAAACATATGGGCTCTGGAGGTTATTAAATAAGATAATAATTTAACCATGACTCTTGTGGGTGTGTGTTTTATGAAACAGCTTCTAATGATTAAAAAAAAAATTCTAGCTACAGAAGAATGCTGATGTTAATGCCTGTGAGAGACCAACATTTTTATGAGGTATTTTAAAATCAACTTTAACTTTCCATTAAGAGGGCATGCCTTTCCTCCCCCAAAGAATAGAATCCATTTAAAATCCAAACAATTTCTATTATTAGACAATCTCTCATCTTATGTCAGTTTTGTTCTGAAAACAACCAGCTGGTTTGCAAGAGCCTGGTCACGTGGAAGCTTCTAGGCGCCTCTGATGCACCCTTCAGACCTTGCCCCAGGCAGTTATTTTTGAGACCCCGGGTCTGCTGCTCTTGCCTGGGGGATGTGTGCGTTTGCCAGCCGAGACTCAGCGAACTCACACAGAACCAGCTCGAACCGGCCTTCACATTCACCGCAGACCCCAACGCGACAGAAGGTGGGACGGAAGGAGACACGTGCTCACCTACGGTTGCAGACAGATTGGAGTAGGCAGAGTCATTGGCAGACACAAAGGCAGAGTTACGGGAAGGGAGCACAGTGAGGTTGTGGGTTCGTAACGCTGGGAGAAACAGCAACAAAAAAAAGCAACAAATGAGTGACACGAAAAACAAACGCGGCCAACATATCTCTCAACGCGACGCGGGCCGCCCGTGTGGGTCCCGTCTCCGAGCCCCGCTCCCTCCCACCCTCGTCCATTCGGCCGACGGCAGGACTAACTCCCCTGTCCCCGTTTGCTCCCGGAGCTTCGGTGTGGTGGCCGCTGAATTGGGCCACAAACTTTGGTTCCCATTTGCTGGCTCCGACTCCCACTCGGACACTTGGTTGAGAGATATGAGATGGAACTCGGCCGTAGGACACCCATAACGAGTGGATTAACTAACGGTGGTGATGTCACAAGAACCGATAAATCAGAAACACAGCATGAAAACGACTATTATGACAAATGGACAAACGACAGAGGATCCAACAACACATAACAGAGCCGCATGTCCGTGAAACGCTTTCCAAAGCCATTCAGCGGTCCCCAGAAGCAAAGTGTGCTCACGCACTCTGTTCTTTGTTATTGTTATTTTGTCTTAAGCCCGTAATCAAACGGAAATCAGCCGGCACAGCGCTATGGCCACAAGGAATGGCCGCGATACAAAAGCCAGTGGACGCTCCATCATGTGAGAGCTTCGGGGCGGGCACCGATATACCTAAGGCTTTTACGGGAGATTAATTTCCGGTAAATTTAACAAAATTTAAGCACAGTGTAACTGTGTCTGAGTAATCACACCACCTTGTTGGAAGAATCTTTCACAGGTAAGGGTTTACCAACACCACGAGTTACTGATTGGACCACGGCAATGAGCTGAGTTGAGGAGGTGGGTAGGGACATAGACTGGTGGTTATTTGAGCTCTCGTGTGAAATAACTCTTAAAATTTTAGTTTCTGCATCCTAAACAATAAGCCACTTTCATAATGCATTTCCACTTGGAGAAGGCTCTCTCTTCGAAGGCTTTGAAATAAAGGCCCCGAGAAAAGAAAATTAGATTGTAACAAGGGGAACGGCTTATCTTAACCGAAGCGAGTCACGCAATAAATGTCACGGGGACGAAGCACGGGCCTGCTGTCTGGGGGCGCTGTGGGGCGGTGTCTCGCTGCGGCCGCCCCCGCCACCTCATGCCTTCACTGCCTCTACTCCGAGGACGCCAGGAGTGTGGCCCTCATCTGTGACACTTCTCGATTTGCAGATTTTTAAGGGAAACGTTTTAGAACTTTCGGCGGCAATTTATGGCAGCGCCTGAAGTCACCGGAGTACGTCAAATACCGACGTGCTGGTGTGGAAAGCCTAGTAATCGGAAGTATATGGGGTTTAGAAAAAAAAAAGACCAGTATAGACACAATCGGGACACCTTTGTTCGGTGAGACCATGACCCACAAACAGGCGAGTTCGTCTGAGTTGGCCCAACCTTCGGCACCGGGTGCCGTTCGGGCAGGCACGTAGCCGGTGCCAGAGCTGCCTCCCCAGAGAACTCACCCACCTCCGGCCCACGCACGGACTGATCCGTCATCTAGAGCATAACGCTTAAGACAGCAGCTTCCGTTTTCAGGTCGTTGGGGGAAGCGCCCATTTTAATAATGTTTTGAATCGTGAGTCCTGTCCTTCAATCATAAAAATGTGAAAAAGTTCTCGCAAGATACTTTGGCACGGCAATGGTCGGGTGTGTGTTGGCCGCCACCGTCGTGCCTTCGAAGTCGATGCTGTTTGCTGTCTCTCCCGGTGGCCCTGACCCCCGAGCCCCCCACCCCGTGTCCTCGGGGGCGCTCACCTCCAGCTGTTTCTTGTAGTTCATGGATCCCGTCCACGTGCTCCAGCGGCCAGTAATGGGAAGCAGAGGCCAAGACCTCAAAGCCTGGGGGAGAGTAAGGCCATTAAGTCACCAGAAGCGGGGAGAGCACTGAGCACAGAGGACACTCGCCACCTGCCTCGCGAGGTGACCACGGGACACGCCAAAGGGCATCTAAATCACTTCAGGACACTCTCCCGGGGTTTTTTTTTTACATCTTAAGAAATTAAAAATCAATGACTATTTCCTTAATAGAACAAAACATGATAAATAGGGACAGACAGATACCTCTTAACCAAAGAAAATAAAGCCAACACGCTTAATGGAACAACACTGGACCCATTAGCGTCGGGAAAGAGACGCATGTGAATGAATATCATCATCACATCACTGTTTAATATCGTTTGGAAGAAATGCCTGATGCCATCGGACGAGGGAAAGGAAGAAGGTTGAAAAGCAGAGCGGGTAACCAGCACCGATCCTGTGCCAGAGGCAGGCAGACCACGTGTCGTCCGAACGCAACCTGTTCCTAGCCGACTTGGAGGGACGAGGAATAAGAAGCTTCCTGGGCGACCACCGGCGGCTAGTTTCAGAAGCGACGTTCCCATCCGGCCTCTCTCGATGTGGCCTCTTCCCTCTCCGTTCCCTGCACACTGAACATTAATCCTTTCACAATCTCCCAGGGGATCCTCGCGCGTTAAGTAGACGTAATTTTGTGCAGATATGTTCCTTTCCAGTGTGTTCTTCTCACCGGATGCCATGTGTGTTATCTCATTTATTTACTGCTATCCAGCCTTCCTAACGGGTTTGGGTAATGGTCCCCTGGGGGGCCGCAGCGTCCCCTACTCAGCCCCTCTCTGTAGCTCCTCTGGGTCAGTTCTCTGTGACGAGCTCCCGGGACGCACATGAAGGTCCAGATGACTAAACAATAATCGGCTGCCCTAAATGTCTGCCAGATCACAGAACACTGAGCACTGATAAAGTAATCTCTGTGCTATTCGTCGTAATAAAAATTTTTAAAGAGAAGATAATATGATCATTATTTTCAAATGATGTGTGCTTGGTAATGAAAATAAAAAAACCATTACAAATAAGAAAAGAATTTGGTAAGTGAAAAAACCGTTACAGACGTCGAGAGAATTTAGTGAGGAGGCTGAGACGGATTGAATATGCAAATGTCAGCTGCTTCCCTGCATTCGAATAGTAATGCTCAAAAAAACACCAAGAAAAGTTCTCTTTGATAAATTTATCTAATAAAGAAAGCACATTCGAGAACAAAAGAATGAGAACTGTACAAAATTCTTAAGAAGAAAAGAATAATACTGAGAAACATAAGAACCCTCGAGGAAATGAAGGACTTAACCTATTCTTGCAAAAGACACTCAAAAACGTGAAATACTAACTGTACTGTAATTTATCCATAAATATCAGGAAATTGGTTGTAAAAATGCTGAGTTTACCGCGAGGGCGAAAGCTGACTGTGGAGCATCTATAGAAAAGTAAATAAAGAAGAAGAAGGAGTAAGGAAAATCCGGCGGGAGACTCAGACCAGCGAGCAGGTGTGAAGCCGCAACGATGAAGAAGGTTTGGTGACACACGCAGGCAGACAGGTCAGGGGGAAATACCCCTAAATGCCCCCAAGCCCACGAGAAAATGCGGTCTATGGAAAAGGTGGCATTTCAAACCCGAGGGAAAATGTTACTCGACAAAAGTTATTTGAACCGGTTAGCGATCTCAAAAAACAATAAGACCCCTACCTCTTTAAACGAGGACGACCTCTCATGGAGAGAAAATTAAATGCAACAAAGCGGAAAAGCTTCTGAGGAAAACAGGCTGTAAATCTGACTACATGAATTTTTTAAACGTCTGTGCAGAAAAACAAAGCAAGCTCAATCGAACTGGGGAATGATGTTGATATAACATGTAGGATGCAAATGTACTGATCCCTTTTTAGAGGTGCTACATTTATTAGATTAATAAAACTCCTATTATTGAGGAAATTTAAACCGACAGAACACTAGGGCAGAGGACGTCCACGGACAGACAGTTCAAAGAAAAAGAAATGCGAATTATGTTTTAAACACCTGAAAAGATGTTTGACTTTCCTCGTCATTTTAGAAAGCGTGTTAAAAGCACGACGAGCTAGCCGATCGCAGTCTGCCTGTCAGACCGGCGAACGAAACGTTAGATACACGAGCCGGCAAATTCTCCGCTTTTTGGCGGCAGTTAGATCGGGACGGCCTTTCTAGGGAGCAGTATGGCAACTTCTACCCAAACTTCAGGCGCACGTTCCCTTCGATGGAGGAACTCCGCTCCCAGGACTTTGTTCTAGAGATACACTCGCGCACATGATCAAGACATTTGTGTGAGGAAGGGTTTTGTTTTTTTTTTATATGTAGCATCAGGAACCTGCCAACAGCGTAAACGCTCACTGACAGGAGGCTGGGTGAACACGTACAAGCACCTGCCCCACGGACGGGCGGGGGCTTGGACGAACGATGCGGCCGATGCACACGTGCTGGTAGATGCAGCGGTCTCTGGGTGGGATCGTGACGTTTAAAAAGATCAAGGTGAGAAAAAAAGGTACTCTGAACTCTTTGTGGAAAATACAGCTGTTTGGGCGGGGGCGGGCAAAGACGAGAAAGGAAGAGAGAGAGATGTTGGCGTGGACGCCCCAGACCGGCGGCAGTGTTGGGGGGCCGAGGAAATGGAGGGACCGGGCGTCAGGGGTCAGAAGGGGCCGTCGTTTCATTACGTTTGCGTTCTGCGTGGACGTTTGCACCGTCACTGATTTTTAAAGTATCGGAGGACTTGTTTAGGATTAGGATAACCCACAGGCAACGCCCACGTGAAGTTTTCGGATGAAAACTGAGACGCTCCACCTCAGTGTCTGGGGTTCATCTGCAGGGCTGAGCGAGCAAACGGAGGGTGCCTCGTCCACACAGAAAGGCTCGTCCCCGAGCTGGCCAGCGCCCATCGGAGCCAGTGACAGAAAGGGTGGCTGAGATCGCCCCAGCGCCTGCTCTCCAGGTCACTGCCCCTCAGATCCCCTGAGTGCCCGGGTGTCTGTGACTAGCCACACCGAGTGAGCCCAGCAGACGGGAAGGAAATGAGGAGGGGCCGCGGACTGCATTACGCCTGGGGCCGGCGGCCACAGTCACCAGCCCAGAAGGCACGGGCACAGACTCGTCGGGACCGCGGCTGGTGTCACCCCAGGTGACACGCCACGGGGTCCCAGGGCCACGGCGAGAGGGGCAGCCCATCAGGACTGCGGCCGCCGTCCGGCCCAATGCCGTGGCATTGTCGTGGGCGTGGAGCCAGGCGTCGGGCAGCCAGCGGCCAGGGCCGAGGTGGGTGCGTCCCGGTCCCCTGGCGGGGCCTCCCCTCTGTCCACGAGTGTGTGGGAGGCGGCAAGCTGGGCCCCGGTGTCCTCTCCACCACAGTCGCTGCGGTGTCTCTGGGGGGACAGCGCACGGTCACAGGTCAACACAGACGACACGAAGCCTCAGAACGACCGGAAGTTGTTTCTCTTATTTACCAAACCAAACACCTGTCTACACGGTAGAGATGGAGACCTGGAAGCTGGGCTCGCCCGACACCCCAGCACCCCTCCATCACGGTGCCGACCCCGCTGTCGACTCCAGCGGCCTTCCCACGTCCGTCTCCCCCAACTCCCTCCGAACTGTGAGTCCCCGAGCGGTGGCACTGTGTTATCAGTGGCAAAAAACTCTGAAAAACACGTGGCCGGCGAGTAGGAGCTAGGGCTCTGCGCTGAGTGGCTGTGCGACGTCCACACGGGCTCCCACAGGAGCCCCCAGCCCGCCCCGCACCCCTCGAGATGAGGCACCACTGCCCGTTTGCGGGTCCTGAGCAGATGCTTCTCGGGGAGCCGCGGGAGTGGGGGTGGGGGACCCTGCGCCTGACCCTGAGCAGAAGCGCAGGGGGCCTCCAGAGGGCGGCGAGATGCCGGAGGAAGGGGGGCGAGCAGAGTCCAAGACGCAGGAAGAGAAGACGCAGGTGAAGGATGGGGGAGCACTCGGATTCTCCCCAAGTGCAGTGGGGTTCACCGCCCTACGCTTCCTTGTTATTCTGTAAAGGAAGGAAGAAGGAGGAAGAGAGGAAATAAAAGGTTTGAAAAGT